GTCCTGAAAGTGATTGAATGGCAAGTATGATGGACCATCATGAGCCATGTTGAAGACCAGTATACCCTGATGGGGGTCTTACATTTGACAGGCTGGTCTAATCTGAAAATAACTGAAAGTAGGTGATTATTCATCTTCATGCAGTAATTCAGGCCAGTTTGACTTAAGGAGAGAGTAAAGCTTCAATTTAGCAAAATCTCTTGATTATGGAATATTTAGTACAGACCTGAATTAAGCCAACCTTAAAAGCATCTTCAGAGCATATGGGGAGCAGATGATTAGGGAGAAGTAGGAAGCAAGGGAAAGGAACTTAATTTGTGCTTTTGTAATCTCTAGCGTGCCCTTGTGTAATGCTCTACATGAGACAACTCTGAAAAAGTGCCTGATAGTTCAATTAGACCAAAATGCTTCTATCAGATGGTTCCCTTGAACTAACTGGGTGAAGTGTGTAACTCCAGTGGTGCTCAGTCTTCATTGGTTAACTATTTGTTTTCTTGTTGAATTCATAGTGTTGGTTCTTGCATGTAAAGCCGTAAATGGCTTGGGACCTGGATAACAGAGAGACCATCTTTTCCCATGGATTCCCTTCCTTTCATTCCAATCCATGCTGGAATTTCTGTGTTGTGTCGCTATCACTGGCTGAAGTACAGAGCTTTTTCCATTGCCATGCTGGAATTGTACAACACCTTTCCCCAGAAGGCTCTCATCCTTCAAAATGCTCTGTCATCTAGTTAAAACGTGGTTGTTCCATAAAGTCCCTATGATAGGAATAGATCCCTCTTTTTCTGGTGATCATGTTTATATCTGTTGTGCTTTTCTGTGGGTTGCTTTCATTTATGCTTTGGCTGTTTGTTTGTTATTCTTACCTGCTTTGGAATCCTTGAAGAAAAGTGGGATGCACATTAATAGATAATCCCACTGCTCTGTTTTCTGATCGAATCTCCCCCACCACTTTTCGCACAGCTGCATTAAACACTCATCTGGTACTGAAAAGAGGTTGGGAAGTAACACTGCAGGGGTGAAGCATCAGGATAAGGATGAAGCAGAATCTCATCCCACAGCTTCCCTCTTCTGAATCACACAGCAGCTCCTCAAAGTGCCTTCAGGATACTGCATGGCAGTGATTCGGGTTCTCAGACCACTGCACTTCTATAAGTCCTTGGGCTGCTATAGAAGAGATTGATGTGAAGCATAATCCTCATCTCAAAATTGCTTTAAGAGTTATCCCAGTATCAGCCAGTGAGCCAAGAACTCATACACCTGTTGCTTTGTCCCTTGAAAAATGGAGACTCAGTCCTGGGTTGAGTTACACAATGTTTGTGGCTTTCTGTAGAATCCGCACAAGAGAAGCACTATTCATAAGCTCTAATTAAATGCATCTTGAGCATCTCTCTTTGCTGCCAGCCGAATTATGAAATTCCACTGAATTCCTGACAACCATTGTAGATTCTCTTTAGATTGCCTAAACTGTGATGCTCTTGTTAGTCTGTTTGTTCTCTCAGCTCAGTAAACTACAGCAAGCACCATTGTCCTTGTTTTGGCAGAGACAGGCCAAAATGGCATATAATGGCCCACTCAATAGTGCATAATTGTGGCATATGATTTCCCCATTAACTAGAAGGACTCATATTCCTGACACTGGATGCCTGTTGTACATTCTGATCCTGAGACTGGCTGCACAAAGCATAAAGACTTAGGTTCGAGCGTTACAAGAGTTGCAGTGTCTCAGTGAAATGCTGTATCAGTCTCATAGGATCAAATGCCATGTGCAGAGCTAAAGAACTAGCAGTGCTTAAGGGCATATATGCCCCGTCGCGGATTGTCTTAAACTGTAACAGCTATGAAACTATGCTTTATTGAGTCAATTTAGCCCAGTAGCATCCGCACTGACTGGCAGTGGCTCTCCAAGAGCTCCATTTAATTTCCTTCCCCACTGAGGGATTTTTTTTTAATCTCAAATTCCTCCTCTCCTGAAAGTGAAGAGATTTGCAGAGTTTGATAAGTGCTTATCAAAAGTGATCTTACAGAATTTCACTCATCCCTTGTCCTTCCCAGGCCCTTTTTAAGACTAGAAAGGGCTGAGGACTGAATTTGGGACCATCATACTTGCGTTTTCCACTGAACCGTGGGCCCTCTTCAGATTTATGTATTTGCAAAATAAAGAGAGGAAATGAATAAGCAAAATATAATACTAGCATAATTCAAGCAACTTAGAACTCTGTTCACAATCACATATATAGATACAATCACCCTTGCTAGCATGCATGGTTTTCTTTTTAAAATGTTTTGACAAGCATTAAACTTACTGTTAGACCTTGGGGGGATGGTTTCCACAAAAATTAGACAAAAATGATAATAGGTCTGCCTTCAGTAAACTACAGATGCATTTCAGAGTGAAGATTATTTCCTTCACCAGTAGGTTGTGTGCAGAGGGAGAAGTGAGGAAGAGAAACTCTCTTTCACTAAGCTGGAAGTAAGTTGACTTTACAGCCATACTCAAAGCTACCTGCACATCCTCCCAAATTAGCTGTTATGAGCTTTTTCTTATCTCTGTTGATGCACCATAAATCTGTGTGAATGATGCAGAAAACCATCCACTGTCCCCAGCCATTATGCTTACATACTAGATATGTCAAGGAACATGATTTTTGAAAAAACCTAGCATGACATCAAATCCACTGGCTTTGCATGTGTGGCACAAAGATGGGAACTACTGGAGCTTTTGAAACTGTATGCTTCTCTTTTGCCTTTGCAATTCTCTTTGTCAAAATTAAAGTCAGGCAGATCAGACTCCTAAGGTTTATAAGGTGCCTCTTGTTTAAATGATTTCAAGCTCCTTTTGTTCAGGCAATCAAGAAGTAAACCCTTCCATTTATCTCTGTATGTAAAATAGTCAGTGCTGTCCCTCATTGCAGCCCTGAGCTTATCCTCATGGCTACTGTAGAGTAATTAATCCAATATCCACCTTCTTAGTCCTTTGTAGAATGCTGGAATTTGACCTTCAGTGTATCTTTGCAATTTATGGAAGTTTTTCTTTGGTGGAAAGTAAGTGCATAGAAATCACTTAATGTTCACTTTTCTTTTCACAAGTGCATAACAAGTGTGTGTGGATCTGTGTGTGTATTCCAAATTATCACATTGGGCTTTGTGCCAGACTGAGAATATAAGTAACTAATTGGATAAGCCTTTTCAAAAGAGAAAGAAAGAAGATAGGTTGGGGAGGGGGATTCAGAAGCAGCATAAGGCAGGGAAAGAATGCTCTTATTCTACACATCTCCAGATGGGACAGGTGTTGCACCCTTTAGCTTCAAATGTGCCCTATTACTTACAACCTGATTCTCATCCAAGTGAATGGAAAACTCACCCATTCCAGAAAAAGAGGCATCAGAAATTGGATCCAAACAACATCCATCAGTCAAGCAGTGGGTTTAAAAGCTTTTTCCACAGATGAACTCACTTTATTGCAGTTTCTGAATAGTCACTGGTTCGATAAACTTAATTTTCTGCAGATTAAAATAGATAGTATAGAGTGCAATTATAAAACAATGAAAATAGCACATTTATTGCACTGCTGGTTAGTAATGCTCCTAGTCTAAACACTGCTCAAAAATAGTCTTAGAAAGAGAAACATACATAATTGTTTGTTAGAACCTCAGCTATATTTCATTCATTTTGACAGTTGCATAGCATAATACAGGAAAAATGAATCTGGTTTTAGCACAATTAATCTTAAAGAACAAAGAATGGTTTCCAATGGCTTAAACTTTATTGTAAAGTCAGTATTAGATGAAATCCAGTCACCAGTCAGCACCATGGCAGAAGTGGAACTGATTTTTCCATAGATCTCAGTTGGTATGTACGTATGTCAAATATTGGTAGTCATTGCCTTGAAATTTTTATTTAAACAATTTTGAAGTAGTTGCTGACACAGTATGATTTTAATGAATAACTGAGTGTAGGGTGATTTTCAGTGGCTCAAACTGGGACACTAATTATGCCACACAGTTCAAGGATGCATCTCCCAGAAGTTTTACTTCCTCTGGGATAGGTATAGTTTGAACTTCTTTGGAGGAGACTTTTGTTTGAGCTGGATTAATGACACACAACCAATAACAGCCTTTGGAGTCTCCTTGGTTACTTTCTGGTTACTAATGACTTATCATGCAGTGTATCCGCCTGTGCTTTGCTTATCAGGGATCCTTTTGATCAGTGCTTTCCTTTTTGGCACAACTCCCTGAGTCCTTTCAGCTCGTCCGTGTGAAGGATGTCTCGCCTTCAGTCTGTTCGGAATGTGATGGAAGAATCATGAGGTGGCAGAATGGGCTGTACCACTTGAACTTGCAGGCAGGGGTCATGTGGTTGAAAGTTCTCCTGCATTAAAAATCTCATGTAAATCAGAAACCAACATTGCAAGACAAAAACTCCTTTCTCCAATTTAACTTAGAAGGAAGAGGGGGTTTTTACCAGTGGGGATTCTTAGATGACCCCCTGCCTCTCATAATCGAAAGTCCATTTCACCATGTTAGTCTGCCGCATGTGGAGACCCAGCCTTACCTGAAGTCCTGCCTGCAAGTATTTTGGTCCATTGCAGAAGTTGAGATGTCTATGCTGGTGCCTCTTCACGGAGGTAAATGGGGGGATGTTGGCTTCACTGAGCCACAGTTGATAGTTGTAAGTCAGATGCCTCTGCCTGTGCCTCCTTTCTTTGGGCAGAGGCTTTCCACAGCCCCCATCTGATTCACTTCCTGACTCATCTGAAAGGAGGAGCCGTAGCTGAGTGGGAGAGCCATGTTTTGCCAGCATGAAGCCCTGTTGCTGGCATTTCCAAGAGCCCAGCAGAAATGGGAACAGTGCTGTTTCTGGACCTGGAGAGCTGGTGCTAGCCAGGCTCCCAAGCACTGGAGTAGATGTACCAGTGGTTCGGCTCAATATTTAAGATAGTTTCTTGTGTTCATATGCACAGTATTGAAGATTGCTGCTTCCTTTTTCTTCTTTACTAGGGCTGGAAATCTCTTGGGATGGAGACAGTTTTGTGGAAGTCATGGCCGCACCGCATCTTAAGGGCAGGCTCTGTGGTCTGTGTGGCAACTACAACGGGCATAAAAGAGATGACCTGATTGGAGGTGATGGCAATTTTAAGTTTGACGTGGATGACTTTGCTGAATCTTGGCGTGTGGAGTCAAATGAATTCTGCACTCGCCCTCCGAGGAAGCAGTTTCCCGAACTGTGTCAAGGAACGGTGAGGATAAAACTCCGTGCACATCGGGAATGTCAGAAACTAAAAGCATGGGACTTCCAGGCTTGCCACTCTACGGTGGACTACACGATGTTTTATCGGTAAGTGCAGCCTTTCACACTATAACCACAAACAAAATTCTTGTGTGGGAACATGCTGAAAATCCTCTGGAACATTTAACAATGATAGCAGTTTACTCTGAGCTAACTCGTGCTGAATATTGGGTATAATAGCATATAATTAGTAAGAGGCTAAAGGAAATGAGCCATCAATATTGTGAAGTATTAGCTCAAGGGAACTAATCAACACTCTCTACCAAGTTGATGCAACATAATTACACCTCAAAGGAAATTAATAAGAGAAGGGGTTTAGTTGTGCACACAAACAAACAAGGCTTGCTTTCTCTCTCTCTTGCAAGCATTTGATCTGATATCTAAAACCATTTATTCTAAATAATCTGCTATGCCTGAAAACCCTTTCTGACTAGATTTTCTAAGAGAATCTGCAATCAAAGCAAGAAAATGTTGTCTTGCATATTGATAGCAGAAAAACAAGTGTTTAAATGGACATTTTTGCAAAGGTTCATAGCTAGAAATGCTTTCAAATGGTACTGGATAATATATAAGAGCTTTGTTGTCACATGGTTGATATTCTTATACATCAGAGGTGACCAGAGGAGTTGCTATTTGGAAGTCTGTCTTGAGCTTCTAAAACAAATCAGCTTAGTGTGGATGTACAAACAGCCTCATTCACACACCAAAGTATGCAGGTTAAAAAACTTGAACAAATACTTCCTTGTGACTAGTTTTATTTACTGTTGGAACAAAGAAAAAAATAAGCCTAGTTTCATGTCAGGCATGCTAATTTTAACATTCTTGTCCTGAATTCTAAGGACAAGTCTTTCTGTTCCTAGATTAAATCAGGTATAATTGTCTTACAGTAAATATACAACTTCCTGTTTTCATTTGATTGTGGTTAATGTAAAATAATTGTTTATTTTGGCTTTGGATTGTGCAGTGATGGGTTCATACACTTTTGGGATAAATAGCAATTGCAGAAATTTGAGCTCCCAAAGATGAGCAAATCCTCCCAAACTACACAAAATGCTCCAAAATGTGAATTTCTGTGCATTCACATGGGGAAAATGCATGTTTTATTGGTATTTTTTACTTTAGGTATTTTTCTATGAGTAATTTTGCGTGAAATTATGCATTTTTTAAAAAGTCCACATATTCTATACGATTCAAGAAAAAATGTTCCACTACAGAATCCAAGTGCAGCAGGATTCTTTGAACTCTGAACTCAATTGAGTCCATTGCAGATTTCTCCAACATTCCTAGTTGTGACCATAAGATATATACATTTCAGCATTTCTTGATACTAAAATACCTATGTCGAATTCATTTGCTTGCTGATGGCTTTCTCCTACAAAAAAGCCTTCTCTGAGGCCTGCTTCACATAAACTTCCAACAAGGGATCCATGAGGAATCCATTTGGGGCTGGGGAACCATTGGCTTCCCTGGGCTTAGCCCCCTGGGCTCCAGTTTGCCTTGTCAGCGCCCTGAGTCCAACGTCTCAGTGTTCACAGGGCATTCGGCAGGAATCAAGCCACACATGCTGTACGAATGATGTACCATGTTCCACATTGCTGCTGTAGCGGATGCAGAAGAGAGTTGCCTTTGTTCTGCAGGCATTAGTCAACTTCCTCTCAGCTCAGCTCATTTTCTAAGACTGGGCTGAGCACAAGAAGTCCACAAGAGCTAGAGACCCTAACAAAATAAGTAGCTTTCTCCAACCTTGTGTTGTCTAAGTATGTTTGACTACAACTCCTGTCCCCAACCAACCTGAAGCCTTCATATTCATGAAGGGTATATATGAACCATTCGCATGCAGCTGGCGTATTACTGGATAAGAGTACACTGTTAAGGTGGCAAAGATTCACCCCACATGTGCTTCCATCCCTCATACACCCTGGTAACGGGGAGAAATTCTGTTTGCATTTTAATGTGATCTTACCTAGTTTTACGTTTTGGAACCACTATGTGAACAAAAACTCACAAATTTGCATTTTTGCAAGTTTTGCAATAGACTTCTCCAAACAAAAGCTGTGTAGTATTTTATGATCTGTAATTTTAGAGGGAAAAAGCATTCTCCCTGGTTTATTAGGCAAATCATTGGAAAAATGACAGCACTTGACAAATATGTATATATTAGGAGAAATGTGCGCCAAAACAATTGCAGATGTCCATAGAAGTTTTTTTTTAATTTCTCAGAATCTGAGAATTAAAATGGTAACTGGAAATATCAGAAAGGGAGAGAAATGGAAATTGACAGATTCTCTTGCACAGTTTCTCTCACACATACATGTATGTACATATTGTACCACACAGATGCTACTCTAAAGCTGTTGACTGTTCGAATGCATTGGATTTTAAGAGTTGGACTATAGTGCCTTGGTACAATGACATTAAATACCCACAACTATTAGTATTAATGCTACAACATATCAAAACCTGGACCTGAGAGTATGAGCACACAGAAATGCAGTCCGAAAAGAAGAGGTTTCGCATGACGGTCATAGTATTTTAATTTCCTCTATGGTGATAGGTCAACAAAGAGCATTCGAAACAGGTATCCAAAGGAGATCTGTTGCCTATATTTCAGTGATAACTCAATTTTACCTTAGTTGTATTTCAGAGGTAAGTGATGAAAGCTGAAAATGTGGACCAGGCACTGAAAAAACAGACTTTATTTCCTCACCACAATTGCTTTTTTTATTCAGTATCTGGGAATTTCCCCCACTTCCTCTTTCAAAGTTTCTTTGGATTCATTTAGTGTAATGAAATCCTTGATACCTGGAAGAAAAGTGATTTATATCTTGGGAAGGACAAGCACAAAGGACAGTGGTACCGCAATTCAAAGTGTGTTTCTATGACACAGAAAAGTAAGAGCCCTGCTGGGACAGAACAAAAAGCCATCATTGGGTTTTCAGCAGTAGCCAAGGAGATGCCTCTGGGAAGCATAGATTAGAGCATGTTGCCAGCATCTCTCTCCTTTGGTTCATCCCCAGCATCTTGCATTCAAAAGTATGGTATTTGGGAACCAGAAATTCAACTTGCTATCATACATAAACCTTCTGTTCGTGCAGCTCTCTATAAGTCTGCCTAATCCCCTCTTAAAACTGCCAAGCAGTGGCCTCCTTTAAAAAAAAATGGCCTCCTTTCCATGTCAAAAATTTCCATAAATTGATGATGCATTATGCAAACTAATACTTTATTTTGACTGTGGCTGCCCTGAGTTCAAGTGTTATGAGAAAGGGAGAAACATTGTTCTCCCACAACCTTTTCCATACCATGTATACGTTTATACACCTCTGTCATGCCTTCTCTTCAGGATCTCCTTCCTAAATTAAAATACCAGACTCCTTTCAATCTTCCCTGTGTGGAAACTGCTCCAATCATTTGATCAATCTGGTGCCTTTTTCTGATTTTGTTTCCAGCTCTGTGATATCCTTTATAACTGGGGTGGGAAACCCATGACTCTCCAGATGTTGCTTGACTCCAGCTCCCATCAGTCTCAGCTATTCTAGCCAATGGCCAGGGATGATGGGCATTGTACTCAAAGAACAACTGCAGGGTCACAAGTTTCGTGCCCCTGCTTTATAAAATGAAACAGCCAGAACTGTACAAATACTTAGGGGTGGCAAAGAAAATTGTTTCTCAGCTGGTGGAGGTTACAAATGCCTGAATGGTAGCATGTCTGTGGGGAGAAGAAACATTTGTATAGGAACAAGTACCAACAGATGTTGGAATTTACTGCTAGAGATGGGTGAGAAATCAGTTTGGTTCAAGCTTCTAGATGAAATTACTAGGACATCAGAAGAATTCCAGTGACTTTGGATTTCTATAGATTCAACCGTTAGTTGCACAGGAGGCTAACATCTTCCAGGTTGTGGAGATTCCACAGGCTTCCAAACCGTTTTTTTTTTTTAACTTTTCAGAATTGTACACAAAATTAATCATATGGAAGTTAGTGGGACATATGCTGATATGTATGCCTTTTATAAAAGTCTGCCCAACATTTTATACATTTATCTCTCTTCAGTCTTCACTGTATAACATGGAGAAAAACAAGCAAAAATTATGTATGAGCATAACACCTTTCCTCTGCCTCATTCCATCAGTGAGCAGACACCTAACAATGGAATGAAAGACACTTAACAGGAATTGACACTTAAGAAAGACACTTAATCAGGAAATCCACATGAAATTGATTAAGCAAAATTCATACAGCTGTACATAAACAAATTGTACCTTCCAAACCAATGCTGAAATCTACTCCAATGTTTTGCTGTGCCTTTCACAACTAAAAAAAGATCAGCGCAGAACCACATATAGTAAGGGAAACACGCACACAGAGAGGCGGGGGAGAGGGAGGGAGGCGCGGTGGTGGTGGGGAGGAAGCAAGTAAAATGGCCTGCATTATCTTAGAGAAAAATCACATGCAAAAAAGTGGAAACATTAGTAAAGGTTGTGCACAGAAATGGGTATATTAGAAGAAGTGTGTGAGTTAGGTCTAAGATAACGTCTGTCAGTCTATCTCAGTTTCCTTAAAATAGCAAGGAACTAGCCCAGCTATTCAACTGGGGAAACCACGGCCATATTTCCTGTGTGTGTGCAGTGTGCTAAACTGCACCAGGCAGGTGGTACCAGTACAAAATGAGATAACAAACAGACAACACTCAAACTATCCCTGATGTACTTCATAAGCATTGCACATTTTCTAATGAAATGTATATGGATTTTTATAGATCCTTTCTTTAAAGAGGACAGAACAGACTTAGTAGAGCAGGGAGGCCAATCGCACATGGACCAGACTAAGACTGTTCTGTCTGACCCAACAAGCAATGCAGCACCAGCAGTGCCCCTTGTCGCCTTCCATGTGGTTAGGCCTGGTCCTCGGGGAGTAGAAACGCGGCTCCTTGTGCATGGACTTGCAGGGGAATGAATCTGAGCATGACAGGTGTAGTCCCACTTAGGTCTTGACCAGAATGGCTTAAATGATTACATTGGCACATTACTGCCCTTGAGATTGCGGTCTG